ATCGATATCTGAAGACAGATATTTCTTTCTAATGTGTTTGATGCCCTTTCGTCGTGGATTTCATATACACAATACCAAATCAGAGAGATTCATCCTACTAGCTGCCGCTTGCAAATAGGTTCGTTTTTTTTTTTTGCGAAATTTAGATCCAGAGATTGCTTAGCAAGGGGCGTGCTCGGTTTGGTTATCTGGGCTTGATTGCGACTGGAATTCGGTTGGGATGGATTCGAGAAGACTTTACTGGTTTGAGCCAGGATGTCAAGCATCATGACAAAAGAATGCGACGGCTGAGGGAGTACTTTTTGAGATCGGAGTGGAAATCCAGACATACATACACAGCACATTCTTTTAGATAGGTGTTGCGGTTGACGATCAGGGATGCGAATTTGAATTCCTGTAAGTTGCTTACATAGACGTGTGCATTATTCCTGAAATTCCGTGCTTTCACTGTGCATGATTAAATTGGTAAATTTTTGGAGAGCAAAAAAAAAGAATTCTGATTATAAACAAAAGTGGATGTAATGCTAGCCAGTAAGCATTAATTTTCAATAAACGTTTTGACAGCTAGGTCGACATGCAGAAACACCCATAAACACCTTCCGACACCCTAAAACACACAAGAAACACAATTACCCCCCGTAACGTGGGTGGATCACCTTTTCGTGGTACGATAAGGGATGTAAGATCTACCACCGATTCCTAGTCCTGACTACTTCAAACTAGGGGAACAGGATTTTTCAGTAATCAAAGGAACACATCTTAGTCCTTGTTACTTTTTATGCCTTGTTGATAGTGATAAGACTCGACTTTGTCCACCGAGGATGATCTTGAAAAACAAGGAAAAAGGGGGTTAATTAGTCTTCATCTATGTGATTCCTAATCTTATATTCGTTGTTCCATAATTTGAAGTGCTTAAGACTAGGGTTCTGATGCATGGTCAATATCGGTGTCATTCCTTAATTTTGTTGCTAAGGAATCCAATTTTGACTGACAAAGGGGCGTGCCTTTGGAGGGTGTTTCAACACTCCGAAGGGTATAAATAGCGGGACCTTTCAATTAGAGTCGGATCCTTGAGATAAATGCAAGAATGACAACTGTAAAAAAAATATCAAATACTTCATCATTTCTCAATAGTGATGGAGTAATGCGACATGCACTAAACTAAGGACACGGGAAATACTACAATAGATCAAATTACTGGTCGCAGTGGTGTTAGGTCCCGAACAGTGAAACACAATTACAAGCTTCGTCCTGGTGTTACGGAACTGAAAAGTGTTTGTGATGGCCATGCTAAGCAATATGGAGACCTGTATGCGACAATGCAACGGCAGTGCTGCAACCCATTGAATCTGCATACAGTTATTCGTCGCAAGAGTTTGAAACCAATTTCTGCACGGTTTCATGATGAGTACAATAAGAACTTTGCCAAAAATTATCGAAGGTCGGAAAGTATGCGTGCAATGTCATCTGGCGGTTAAAAAAAAACATGGATAATGACCAGCCATTTGCAGGTAAAATTTATCTTGAATTATTCATTTCAATCCCAGCCGTACGAAAGCACGTCTATATTGTAGCGAAACAATCCGAGTTTTTCAAATTCACTTGTCATAGCTTACGTGAAGGTGAAGTCGTTGTAGTGGCAGATTTCTCTGAAAACTATTCTTTTGTTTTTTTAAGTGTACAGAGAATTCATTATAATAATTTGCTGGCAACCGTTCACACTTTTGATGCCTACACTGTACACCAGAATAAAGTTGTACCATTGAACTGCGTCATAATGTCCGATACTCTAGAGCACAGCACAACAACATTTCATGCTTTCCAGTGCCATTTCAAATAGTATCTCAAATCCTAGGTATCACAGTTGTCCAAAATCTCGTACTTCTCCGATGGTGCGGTACCCTGGTTTTCCACGAAAGCAAATTTGGGGTGCCCACTCAGTGGCACTACTTTGTTACGGCACATGGCAAAGGACCAAGCGACGGATTGGGATGAACTTTGAAGAGATTGGAAACGCGAGCTAGTTTACAAGGAGCCACTATTCACACGCCAAAGGAGCTCTATGACTGGGCAATGAAGAATTGCAATACAAACGTTAGATTTGTGTCATCTGAGATCTGTTCCGAAGAAAAACAAATACTGTTCCACCGTTATGCATCAGCTGCATCTATTCCCAGTATTCGTTAAATAAATGCAGCAGCTCCTTCTGGTATTGATACCATTATTATGAAAACTGTTTCAGGTGCCACAACTGGTTCAGCTTTTAGAGTTGTGGCAACGAAACGTGCAAAGCAAGTGGATTCGAATAATAATGGGAAAAATCATCACGAAGTGCTAGCCTTGAGAAAAAAAATAAGTAAATTGTAATTTATGTTTTACATTGTTATAATAAAATGTAAGAAACAAATCGATCAGTGTTCGATACAACATTTTATTGGAATGTCTTAATTTATAATGCAATTCGTTTAGATTATTACTAGTGTAAAGTTTTCAGCCACTGAATAATATTTAAATTTGTCAACACTGCATAAAAACTATTATTGGTTTTATCATACCTATTTTATTTCCATCAAGTATTATTTAACAAAGTAAGTCATGAGAATGAATCTTATTACGAGGAAACGTTAAAAAAATAACCCTCATAGTTTATGACTTTCGTTCATTCAAAATGCAATATCTCAGGAACTACGCAAATTACTTTTTGTCGTTAAGTGTTTTTTATGTAAAAAAGGATGAAGAACACGATGGTGTCCTTAAAATGAAAATTAAACGACATGCATTATGAGAAGAATGCATTTAAAGTTTTCAAACAAAAATAAAAAAATATTTGGCAACACTTTACAGAAACAAAAGTTACAGATTTACATTTCTTGTCTAATTTCCTTATTAAAACAATACCTAATGCAATTTGTAGCTTTATTTGTTCCGGAGATATGAACAAAAGAAAGTAGTGGTTTCTAAAAAATAATGAAAAATGAAAAATGTGCCCCTTGATCTAGGGGTGCTACGATCAGCATACAACTTTGGAATTTTAGAATTCGAACTTAAATGAACATTCCCTCCAAATTTGGTCCAAATCGGAAGAGGTCAATTTCACTTTTGCAATTTTTTGTCACCACTTGGTGCGGAATGACCCATATATTATTTGAAAATTTCTGATAAAGGAAACATTACATTTGAATAGCTTGCCAGGTTGAAAAAATCGATCCTTCTTAAACTTTTTTCGAGACCGATTTCAAAATTTACTCAGCTTTGAGAAAAGTTCAAAACTGTACAAAATGGCTTGTCCTTCGGCGAAATGACCTATTCGGCGAAATTATTGTTAAACCTGGGGGCTGGTTCTTGGAATTGGAGGATCCTTCCTATATGATCTGGAAGAATCGATTCATTGGGATTTCTTCCGACGTGGTGAATTTAAATTCCGGTTTCCTTTTCACGACAGAAATCACGACATCTTCGGCTCGGTGGCTGTAGTCGTGCTATCGCGCTGATATTTCTGGTGGTTGATGGATCTCCCATACACGTTCTACAATCCTATGCAGCATCAAGCAAGGGGACAGCTAGACAATGACTGGAACGAGGTAATACAAAAATTATCTGTATTTTGTGACATGGAAATGTTGCTAGACTTCAAAGGAAAAGTGTGCAAGATGTGACTCACAATTTTTTATTTCTTGTAAAATTCTTCCCCCCGACAACGTCCATGCAGTAATTCAAGTATTCGTAATATTTAGGAATGCAGTAATTCAAGTATTCTTGAAACATGAATTTATTAGATTACATCTTGAATAAAAAATCCGGTTTAATTTTTTGTGGGAACAAAACTGCAGCCATGTGCTTGACGGAACATCCAACAGTTTTTTGTCCTTTCATTTTCACGTAACGGACATTCTCGGTACATTCATTCCGTTGTCCTTAATTGGATTCGATGGATTTAAAACGGCCATCATCTGGTACACTGCACAATTATATAAATTTATGTTCCCACCATATATTCAGTGATAAAAAAATAACATCATTCCTCAATCCCAATCATTCCCACCACTCTGGCCTCCCTGCCACTGCCATCACAAATATGCTGCCTCACACCAACAACAAGGAAAACGGTGCAAGTCGGAAAAACAACCGCCAAAAACTACGATCATCATCATCATCATCATCATGATCGCGGTCGCCGTCGTCATCGTCGTCGTCGCACGCAGTGAACCACATCACCACTACCACCAGACCAGACACATGCCGATCATTGATCATCAATCCATCATCGTCATCGTCGTTCGTTACCTATGCTGAGCTACGGATCTCCATGACTCTTCTCGCGTCTGATGCTGGCTTTTGGCGGTGGCGCTCTTGTTGCTTTTTTTTTTTCGTTTTCGTTTGGGATGCCACCAGCCACTTCCACTCCGCAAGCTCTGGCTGAACCCGTGTGCTTGCTTGGCATATGGCAGCACACAGATTAGAGAGCATCTAGAGAAGGAGGAGGAGGTTTGGGAATCATTAAAGGCCGCGAAATAAACCGCGCAGCAACCGCATTTGAATATACACAAGAGGCCGAGGCAGCGAGGCGCACAGATCACTTGTTTGACTTGGTGGCGGCTGTTGGTCCCATTCACATTCCGGCATCCGCGTAGTTTGCCAACCTCCCGAGTCCCCGAAAGGAAAGATCTTCCCGCTTGGAGATTATTTTGAACAATCCGATAGATAAGTGCTGGACAGTGTGGATCGGTTGCGAGTTGAGTTTATTGTCTTGTGTGAAGCCACCGGAATGGTACTCCGGAAGGAAAGTGTTTGATTTCGGGGAGTCTTACAGATCCAGGTCACAGCTAAAGGTGAAGAGGGTGCTGTTCTGTTTTCAGTGTTAAGCGATAGTGAAAAAGACAATCGATTGAACAATTGCCGGACGGTGTGTGGCCAGATAGCGGTGTTTTTCTGGATCCGGAGGAATACTGCGTGAATTGAGTTCAGTTGTTATAGTGCGCCGGTGTCAAACGGATGCAAAAATGATTTTATCCAGGAGGTGTCCCACGACGCTGCTAGTGTCTTTCGGCTGCAGTATGCTGTTTTTGTTGTTGCAAACTCTCGTTACAGTGCAGAGTCATGCCCTGCCGGAGACAGTCGAGCGAAAGTTCGAAACCGATGGCGGTCTGAATTTGGTGGAAGCCCCTGCCTTGGCCCTGCAGCAACCAAGTGACAGTGAAACCGCCCCCCAACTCAGTGCCAGCAGCCGGTCACAACCGCGGGCGCGACAACTAGATCTAGATCGAATGGATTCGTTGTCGCAGCCGAGTGCAAGTGAAATTATCAGGAGTAAGCGGTGGAAGTTGCAGAAAATTACCCCACCGGGACGGAGTCGCATCAATAATCGGTCGATGACCGCATTTAACGAGATGGATAGCGGCGAGTACAGTGACGATCAGAACCTGGAGCAGCAGCATCAGTACCACCACCAGCCGGCTACCAGGCACTGGAGTACGGCGCTGCAGGTGCACCGGAGTTTGGACACCGCGAACGACGAGGACGACCAAGAGGAGTCAAGGATGATTGAGGAAGCACGGTTCAAGAAGAAGAAGAAGAAGAAGGAGGAGGACGAGTATCTGCTGGAGGCTCTGCTGGTAGATGGTAAGTTCAATAGAATGGTAAATAGCTGTGCGCTGCACGGCCGATTAAACCAACTCGTATTTGTGTATCGGTTGTTCATATTGGCAAAAATGTAGACCACTCATTGGTTGAGTAAATTTTTACCCAAATATGAGTAATAGTCAGTGACATTTGAGTGACATTTACCCATATATGAGTGCCATTTACCCAAATTTGAGTAAACATTTCTCGATTATTTTTTCAAAGGAACGTATTTGCTTTTGTCAACAATGCATTTGATCATCTGTTTGGCGTAACTGGCAGCTCGACCATGTATACTAACATCACTATTAGGTGGGATAAAGTTTCCCCCATCTTATCTCTGGTCACGTCTTCCTTCGGAAGGGATGTAAAGCCGTTGGTCCCGGCCCATGTGTGTTTGAATGGGTACGATATCGTAGGCAGGTGTGAAAGCTGCCTTCCTTCACAATCGATTGCCGTCAATGGATGGCAATCGATGTCTGTCGGTGATTGGCACTAGATTTCGGAACAGAGACCGATTACGGATTCACCTCCTTCGGCACAAAAACAACATCGTTGGCTTCGTACCTCTCCATCACCGGTTTCGCGTAATGGAACGATGCCAGTTCCGGCCAAAACACAGTGTCACCTTTGTGGGGCCGCAGGAAGGACAGCAGGCGCTTTTGGGGGGCATTCTCCTTTATATATTTGGTCGTTGATGGTGCCTGTCGTTATCGACGGCTTGCTGAATTTGCCACACCCACAGTACTTCTTGGTAAATTTGTCGACCTTCTTCTTCCGGAGCTTCTCCGGAACATTGAGGTGGGACTTTCCAAATAAAAATCCAAGCCGGAGATCTGCTTGGCGTCCGCTTTAATGTACGGCTCGTCGTCCATAACGATGCATTTCGGCTGCACCAACCACTCGCGGTACAGCTTCCTGGAGCGGGATTTGGTCACCGAATTCTGTTTATCGGTTCGGTTAGGTGCCTTCCTTGCCTTTAAGACATGAAGTCCGGCCCGCTTCATTATCTGATGGACGAACTAGACGGAAGAATTGACCTTCTTGGTCACGTCCCCAATCGAAAGGTTCGGATTGCGCTTGAAGTAATCCCTCACCTTCCTTGCGTCTTCGACTGCCAGCTCGCTGCTGGGTCGTCCGGGTCTCCTTGAATGAATTTACCATACCATTTACCATTAATAAGACAGTTGTATGAATTATACATAATAATCTAAAATTTCCCATCATTTGAATCCCCCATCAGCCATAATGTTCACCATCACTAAATTCCTAATATTTGTATACGCAAATACGTTAGTGCAACATGTAGAGAATCGTGCTACATGTCGCAATAAATTTCAGTGACGCCAGATGATATTCTACAAAATCACCAATTTTCTGATTCCGGTGGAGCTTTAAATGTATTTTTTATAAAAGCAGATACGTCCCTTTGAAAAAAAAATCGAGTTTTATTCAGTCAATATTTTTGCGCATTTTAGTAAACGGAACTCAAATATGAGTTAGATTGAACGGCCGTGTGTTTGGCAACATTATAACGGAAATCGGTGCATTGCATGAACAATTGTTTTCTGCACGGGAAGGCTAAGTGGCAGTGAGACACTATTGATTAATCAATGCTATATAATGATAAATGCACGGCCACTGAGAGTCACTCAAAATTGAGTCAAATGGAACTTAAAATTGTAAATTTTCAACATTTGATTATGAGCAAAATTGAGAGATAATTCACTCAGTATATTGGTATACTCCTACACTGATTTAAACTACGGTCGTTTTTCCTCATATTCAAGCAGTTTTTCAGGAAAAGTGAGGAAAATTTTACTCACTCACTCACTCAGTGAGTTGATTTCGAATCAATGACTGAGTTACTCTCATCGACCGTGTGAGATAATGTTCAAGTACTAGTGATTACACAATCTTCAATTAAAGCAGTCCGATACTAGTAGAAGCTAGTGGTGTCTCACTGTCACACACACGCACAAATTATCATTTGTAATAAAAGTCATCACTAATAGCAAAATGTCATTATTCTCAAAAGCATTGATTGTCACATGGATTGTATGGTTCATTGTCTCACTGTTACTTTCTTTCCCCAAACAAAGCCAATTATAAAAAGAAGCTTCTAAGAATATATGGACGCTAGTAAGATTCCTAAAACAGTGGAAGTTAGGTTTGTCAAGACCTTATTAAACCGATCTGAAATCTGAATTTCATTCATCTTACATCGAACAATCATCCATTATCGCCTAGCATTGGATGGGATAGAAGAATTGCTGTATGACCTGAGCCTGGTCATCGATAAAGTGCTTAATATCTTCTTGAGCAAGGCGAAGCACAAGAAGAAACACAAGAAGAAGCACGGTCACAGAGGATTAGGTAAGAGCAGGTGGAGTCTCTTCTGGGAAATCATTCTTGACATATTCCTGATCCTGATATTGTGTAACGGTGGACGAAACAAAATCACATTAAACGTGACGTTCCCGCTCGGGTGAGGCTTGAGACGGCAATTTTCGAGTTAATATCTGCCAGAACGATTCAATTCACTAGGTACTTGTGGCTTCTACTGTATGATCTTACCAACTGTTTACCGTTAAGGAAGTATTTTTGGACTATCTTTAGTTTCTTCATCAAAAACCAAAAAATCGGTTGATTCTTTTTTATGATCTTTTATTCGTGCCATTGCACATCATCTACACCATTTACCAATAAATGATTGCAACAGTTCTTCCAATATCCTCCTATCAATACAGGAAGTTGAATAAACATGCTAACATAAAGCATCTTCTGTTGTAAAGTATTTTAGTTCTTCTTTTCATTTCTGTACTATTTTCAAAAGGAAAATACATCCGACAAAAAATAATGCAAAGAAACAGTGATACAATGTTCTTCAATCTTGTCAGTTTATGCAGTAGCAGTCGATAGAAGGGATGCCATCTGAGTAGCAAGAGTTGAGCATACAAAGTTCTAATTCCAAAACGAAATTTATCACGTATCAAAACCTATTAAACATAATTCTGGTGTCGTGTTTTGCCAGCGGTGTTTTTGGACAACATCAATCACTGGTAGAGAGTCCGGGATAGAATCGGGCAGACCACAAATGTGGAGGATCTGTATAAGATTTTTGCAAGGGGTAATCAACTCTGCACACTGTGCCGAAACACAGCATGGCATACTATTCGGCACTTTACATCAAACGTTGGCAAGTAGGATACAATCAACATAATATAAAACGGCATCACCAGGTTGACTTCTTTGTTTACTGCATTTGGCTTCACATTGGTTTCGGATTCCAAGGAAAAATGCTGTGAGTATTGCCTACACCTCACAGTGGTTTGAATGCTCAATATCACGAACTTTTTTATTTGCGCCTTCAATGTCGGTTTTTTCACTATGATGTCTTTAAAAGAGTTTTTGCATAAAATAAGGCGCAAAGAGGTTTTAGTTCGGATCTCCACCACAGGCGGCGCTGCAAAATCTAACTTTTTACATTTACAAGATAGGTATGTGGTGTCTTCAGCAAAGTTGTAGATAATTTTACTACAGAAATCTTTGCTCAACACAAAAATACTCTGTATTCCTTAGTTTTTGAGATACGTAGCGTTTAACATGAATGTTCAACAAAATTTAATTTTTTTTCCATAGGTTTTAGAGGATTATAATGTTCTACAAATATTTGTATTTTATCACAATACAAAACTTTGTTCAAGACGTCCAAAAGGTAGCGATTACACAGACTGAGTTATTCATAAATTTAGTAAAAAAAATTACATATTTTGTGCCCTCACAGACAAAAATCCGGCAAAATCCGGCAGGTGAATCTTGAATAGGATGAAAGCTTGTTCAAAAGTGATCTCAAATTCAATTGCAACATTTGTCCCTTTTAGTATCCTCGTTGATTGTTTTGTATTTTTAAAAGGTCGTTCCGTAGTTCAGTAACAGCGCGCATTTGTCAAAGACTGAATCAAAGTAGGCTCAGTGATAATATAATAAAGTTTGGTCACACATTGATCGGTTTTGCAGCATTAAACGCATATTACTTAGAAAATAATGCTTTTATAGTGAAGTGAAGGTTATTTTTCAACATTTCCGTAGCAGATCCCAAAAGTGAGAAAAGCATGTCAACCATGTAGTTATTAAGGTATTCAGTGTTAATTTCCAATTCATGATATAAATGAGTTATCTATGGAAGTTATTTGTTTGTGACAATTTCAAAAATAGTTTAAATTATAAGTGATCAAATGAAATTTCAGTTGAAATCGACAGGCAAAAGTTTTTTAAACTGTGGAAAGAATTTAAGGGAAACGACAGTGATAAATCAAACGTTGTGTCGAGAGAAGTTTTTAACTGTTACGGCATTGAAACATAATCAATGCCGTAACAGTCAAAAACTTCTCTGGACATAAGTGGCAGCTGAAGTCAACCATTTTGTGAAGGCGACATGCAAATATTAAAAAAAAAACTGTGGGAAACCCACAACCGGACTATGCTTGAAAGCAGTCGTGGTTATTTCGATAGCCCCTTCAAACTACCACAGAAAGTTGTTGATCGTTTCCCTTGTACTTCTGGATCTTCCCGTCGTAGAAGAAAATCTTAGGCGTTCGAAGAAAGCAGCGAGGTTGTTAAGAGACGCAAGAAGTCTGCAATGCGGTCTAACTACCCAACAGATGAACTTGCATTTGCAACCCAAATGAAATTACGTGAGGATGGTAAAAAAGATCCAGCGTTCATTGTAAAACAGGCAATGCAAACAACTCCGACAAGAGCCGTGTAAATGGGTTCGGCTATGCAATCATCCAAAATGGCTTTGTACCCTATTCAGAGACGGAAGCTCTTACGTTAATATTGGATCTTAATTTATCGAAAGACCAATACGAAAAGCTTCGTAATGGAGCTCTGGATCGGCTTGTGCCTTTGTATCCGTCCTACTACAAAGTGCTGCAAGCTAAAAAGTGCTGTTATTCCAATACAGGGTTAGTAGTTTCGGAAACGTCTGCAGAAGT